AACTGTCGGCTTTTTTTTGAGAGAAGTGATTCTTCACAGCCATCCAAATTTTAGTAAATCGACCCCTTTCGTCACAGAACGTGATAATTCGATAACAGATGCTTCGTGCCCTGTAGAGATGTGCAAAATCTGAGAGACCCGTCTGTGATTGTAAGCTGCAGTTTTATACAACTGAACTTTCAGTGGATTGGGAGCAAGCCACGGCTGGGTTACTTTGCTGGAGAGAATTATTTTCACGGTTGGGATGCGTCATGTTATATTCGCCTGCAGTAAATGACATTTTATCACAGATTTGCCGCGTGCCTAATTATGATCGGGCCACCCCTCCAAGATGCTCTGCGAGTCAGTGAAAACACCCAGGGCCTGGCCTATTTTTATGAAGTTGCGCACTCCTCGTCTTCAGTTTTGAAGTCGCCAAACCAAGCGGAAACATGGAAAGACGTCAGGCTTGTTGCAGATATTGATTTCCAAGACCCAGATTGAGCTGTTTTCTGCTGCTGGTGAAGGCAGAAGCTTGTATTGTCTGCTTTCTTAATTGAGTGTCTCCGTTGTGAAAACACAATCTGTTAGAGGGGACAGAAACCATTCTTCGTGCTTCCCCATAGACACAAAATATGAGATATAGGGAATGTCTGCCAAAGAGCTAAATGCACAGCTGAGATGCATATAAATGGGTTGTTCTACCAGCCCTGAGCACCAGGGTCTACAGGCAAATACTCTATATGGACAAAGTTTGTGGACATATGACCACCACACCTAAATAAACTTCTTGAACATTTCATTCCTATACTATGGCCATTAATATGGAGTTGTCCTTGGCTCTTATGGTCATTAATATGTAGTTGCCCCCACCTCCCATGGTCATTAATACAGAGCTGCCCTCAACTCCCATGGTCATTAATATGGAGTTGCCCTCACCTCCCATGGTCATTAATATGGAGTTGCCCTCACCTCCCATGGTCATTAATATGGCATTGCCCTCACCTCCCATGGTCATTAATATGGAGTTGCCCTCACCTCCCATGGTCATTAATATGAAGTTGCCCTCACCTCCCATGGTCATTAATATGAAGTTGCCCTCACCTCCCATGGTCATTAATATGAAGTTGCCCTCACCTCCCATGGTCATTAATATGGAGTTGCCCTCACTTCCCATGGTCATTAATATGGCATTGCCCTCACCTCCCATGGTCATTAATATGGAGTTGCCCTCACTTCCCATGGTCATTAATATGAAGTTGCCCTCACCTCCCAAGGTCATTAATATGAAGTTGCCCCCACTTCCCAAGGTCATTAATATGGAGTTGCCCCCCACCTCCCATGGTCAGTAATATAGAGTTTCCCCCCACCTCCCATGGTCATTAATATTGAGTTTCCCCCCACCTCCCATGGTCATTAATATGGAGTTGCCCCCCACCTCCCATGGTCATTAATATGGAGTTGCCCCCCACCTCCCATGGTCATTAATATGGAGTTGCCCCCCACCTCCCATGGTCATTAATATGGAGTTGCCCCCCACCTCCCATGGTCATTAATATGGCGTTGCCCCCCACCTCCCAAATTCATTAATATGGAGTTGCCCCCTACCTCCCATGGCCATTAATATGGAGTTGCCCTCATATCCCATGGTCATTAATATGGAGTTGCCCTTACATCCCATGGTCATTAATATGGAGTTGCCCTCATATCCCACGGCCATTAATATGGAGTTGCCCTTACATCCCATGGTCATTAATATGGCGTTGCTCCACCACCTCCCATGGTGATTAATATGGAGTTGCCTCACCTCCTATGGCCAGTAATTTGGAGTTATGTCCACTTCCCATGGCCATTAATATGGAGTTGCCCTCACCTCGCATGGTCAGTAATATGGAGTTGTCCTCACACGCCATGGCCACTACTATGGAGTCGCCCTCACATTCCATGGCCATTAATGTGGAGTTGCCCCCTTTCCATCTTTAACATTCTCACAATTTCAGAAAGGTCACAAGATTTTGGAGTGTGTCTGTGGCCAATTTGTACCTATTGCGAGATCAAGTACTGATATTGGTTGAGAAGACCTGGCTCACAGTCAATGCTCCTATTCAACCCAAGGCTATTCATTAGGGTTGAGGTCAGAGCTTTGTGCCAAGCCATGTCTTTATGGAGCTGGCTTTGTGCACAGAAGTCCTGACTTGCAATTGACATTAAAATCCATCCCAAAGGTGTTCAGTAGGGTTGAGGTCAGGGCTCTGTGCAAGACACCCAAGTTCTTCTCCCACCCCATACTGGTCTTTATGGGGCTGGCTTGCCACTGGCATTCCAATATATCCCAACGGTGTTCACCAGGGTTGAGGTCAGGGCTCTGTGCAAGACACTCAAGTTCTCCCACCCCATACTGGTCTTTATGGGGCTGGCTTGCCACTGGCATTCCAATATATCCCAATGGTGGTCAGTAGGGTTGAGGTCAGGGCTCTGTGCAAGACACTCAAGTTCTCCCACCCCATACTGGTCTTTATGGGGCTGGCTTGCCACTGGCATTCCAATATATCCCAATGGTGGTCAGTAGGGTTGAGGTCAGGGCTCTGTGCAGGATACTCAAGTTCCTCTACACTAAACTGCTCAAACCATGTCTTTATGGGGGTGGCTATGTCCACACAAGACCTGGTTTGCAGTTGGCATTCCAATTCATCCCCAAGGTGTTCTATAGGATTTAGGTCATGGTTCTGTGCAGGACACTCGAGTCCCTCCACCTTAAACTGGTCAAACCATATCTTTATGGAGCTGACATGCAATTGGCATTCCAATTCATCCCAAAGGTGTTAAGTAGGGTTGAGGTTGGGGCTCTGTGCAGGACATCCAAGTTCCTCCACCCTAAATTGGTGAAGCCATGTCTTTATGGACCTGGCTTTGTTTACAGGGGTCCAATATCTGCTCATGGATGCACCTAAACACAGAAAAAAACACACACAGCGTGCATTGTATCATTTAAAACAATGGCTACACACATTTATATGCATTTAGAAATGTCCAATATAAACACGTATGCCATTGCCATGTGAATGAGGCTCTTCTCTGCGTCCATTATTCTGCATTCTCAGGATTTTACTCCAGACACTCTCTCAGCATATGGAGAACAATCTTCCAATGATACTTTGTTGTCTCGACGTTTCCGTTTTGTTACTTTATGTCTTTGGTGGGTTTTTTTTTCCTCATCCTAAATAACTATGTAGCATTCGAACCTTTCCCGTGTTTGAAGTTTCCTCCTATCATCTAAATGTTGTCACTGGGGCCGCTGGAAGGATTCTTGTATGACAGTAATATGTAGATGGCATGTGACATATCTGTGTCTGGGGAAGCACGCTAAACAATCATTAATTGTGGCAGGAAAGAAGACCGTTGTGTGTTTGCAGCGCTCCAACCCCCCGCAGCGCACAGATACTTTCACTGATGGGTTTTAGATTTCCTGTTTGTATATTACAAATCATTTCCAACAATCCCCATTCTTAATGAAGTCACGTGTGTGTTCCCCTTTAACAAGCGCAGACGGCGTACCGCCATCTTTGCTGACAGGAGCCGGAATTGTAATGTAAGAATGGGAGCGGTAATGGCTGTAATCTTCTCAGACATCAAAGGACGCACTTTCCTGACAATCTGCGCCGTAAGATGGCTGGGGGATGGGGATGGGGGGGGGGGGGTAAATTAAAGATGAAAGTTGAAGGTGGAAGTGCCTTTATCACATCTTGGAGACACTCCAGGAACGTCTTTGTTGTTGAGGGTATTGTTTTAATGTTTTATATTCTCCTGCCGTGCGGATGGGTTGTATCCTGTACACACAGGTTATGTAACGGCGCTCTGCATGTGTGGAAGACTGGGCATTGCCATTATCTCAGGTGAGGTTGTTCATTTGGGGACACGTCCTGTCCTTGTGACACCCGTATAACAAAATGCTAGTAGTTGTCACCAGGACCTGGAGTGTAAAAACATTTCTAAGGCTTGGCAACCTAACCTTCCCCCACACTACGAAAGATGTGTGCCCTATTTTGTCTGCGTCCCCATTGGAGAGATTATTCATCATCCCTTGTCCTGAGAGGAAGTGATAACAAATCTCTCTGGTGGGGACAGTTATGAAAACCTAACAGAGGCTCCTCTAACCCTTCCCCCACTCCAATGCAATAGAATACATTTTGTATGGATTTGGCCCTTAAAGTGGTTGTAAACCTGTCCATATCCCCAGTGAAGTGATACACAGAGATGATACAAAGCTTCCTACATAAGTTATACCTGTTTATCTATAACCCTCTCTTCTCCAGAGCCTTTCAAAGTACAGAATTGACACAATATTTTTTCAGCTTCTAGAAGCGTCCATATCCCCAGTGAAGTGACACACAGAAATGAAACAAATCCTCCTACATAAGTTGGACCTGTTTATCTGCAGCCTTTAAAGTCCAGCCTTTACATAGAATTTCTGTGCTCCAGAGGGCAGGGGGCAGGGATCTGTCACACACACAGCAGCGAGCTGAGTGTAATCTGAGACCTGAGTGAAGAGCATGGACACCCCCCTCTACACACTCTCATAGGAAAACATGCACAGCTAAGGCTGTCAATCACATGCTGTGTGCTGGATCCTGTCCCCCTGGATCCCTTGGAGTCCTCATAAGTGACTCATGCAGTTAGCAGAGGAAGCAAACAGCAGACAAAAACCCTACTGAGTGCTTTGGATTGAGACAAGTACACACTATGGAAAGATTTGCTTTGTTCATTTTATATTTCAGTGGTTTACAAGCACTTAATAGATTTTCAGATTATTGAATTGTATTGTAACTGTATAATGGTAGATGGATGGATGGATGGATAGATCGATCATCCCCAGCCAGGCCTCTTTGTGCAGGAAGAGAACGTTGGCTAGCATCCTGGCTATTCCTCTGCATTCCTTCCCATAATCCCCAGTTCCTGGCACCGCCATGCACCCCCAATGCACCCTGATCGTTGGTGTGATGATAAGGAAGTTGCGTACTCACGTAGGAGGTACTCGGAGCTGTCGTGGTCGTAGTCATTGTCTTCAGGAAAGTGATTAATTCGGAAGCAGTTTCCTTTGTACAGGCCTGAACAAAGAGAATATAACATGGTTGAAGCATCATCATGCGATTCACGGAATGCTGACACATACAAACACCTGCGATGTGACCTCCGCCTGTACCGCCACCGCCTGTACAGAGTGTCTCCTCCTGCAAGTGTAGGACTACAACTCCCATCAGACCCCAGTGCTGTCAGTCCTATTTCCTATACTATGCTCTCTCCTGTGTGGAGATACAAGTAGCCGTTCACCCGCGTCCCGCATTGACAGGTACTCGCACACCCCCATCTTCAATAATGGGGTTCCACTTCTATACACTGCGGCTCCGGACCTCTATGGGCGCTCGCCCCTGGAGATCCCTGTCTGCCCTCTCAGTCACGAACACCATTTTGTGCCCCCTACATTTCTGCCCCCGAACCCTCCACCCCAGGGGTGGACTGACCATTTGGAAACTCGGGCACTGCCCGAGGGTCTGGGGTGAGTAGGGGGCCCCATGAGATGCCACTGGTACCTTTTTCATAGGCTTTTTTGAGTGTGGACAAGGACACGGGCCCCATGACCCCCTACTGCCCGGGGGCCCCATGAGTTGTCAGTCCGCCCCTGCTCCACCCCCATCCCTCCTGTGTGATATATATATCCCATCCTCTGACAGATGTGATTGGCAGAGGGTCTAACCCTTCCACACTCCATCCAAAATGTACACAATAGTTTTTTCATACAGCAGGTAAAGTCCGGGCATTCTGCCTTGCATGCCTGTTTCAGGTCAGCCATGCAAAAAAGAACTGAAGCCACAGGCAGCCAGGCACCTAGCATTTTCAGACTGCGTTTACTCCTGGCAGTCTCTAAATTTTGCTCAGTGCAGGTTTGAGCTTCACCTAGTTGACCCTTCTGCTGGGCGCCATTTACCAGAATATTGCCCATAGGAACAGGTGGACCGGTGCTTGTTGGGGTGGATGCGGAGATGAGGGCGGCTTTTCTCCATGTACAGAGCGGTCTGATGCAGGACGGGCTCTCATGGCCTCCTAAGGAGCTCCTTCCATCAGCCTTAGGCCCCTTTCACACGGGCGGTTAGATTTCAGCTTTTAGCTGCGGTTAGAGGAGCTTAATTACTGCAGCTAAATGCAGACAATGCATCCCTATGGCTCCGTTCACACACTGCGTTTAGCAACGTTCTCATAACATACTGTTTTATGCGTTTAGGTAAAATAAAGTTGGCAGCGTCCAGGAGCGATGTACTGCAGCTATCTGTTCATAAACTGAGTTCGTTGCAAGCGCTCTCTGTGCCAGCAGTGTTGGGATTTCGAAATAGAAAAATAACCCCATGCATTTACAAGGGTCAAAGAGGCCCTAAAGGTGGGATTCAACCATCTCTGGCTGTGCGGTTTATCTTCCATTGTTCTGCGTCTGCACCTTCTTCCCTGATCTGCCCCCCTGAGCCGACCCGGGTAACACATACGTGACGCTTGGTGCCCCAAAACCTGCCTCTCCTCACACGTTACAGAGATACACAGCCACAGCCTGACCTCTGTCAGCCCATCCACTTATCAACTGGATACAGGAGCTAATGGGATCTGTACCTCCTCCAAATTCTACTGCAACCGGAACCTTCCGTGAGAGGAGCATTCACTGCACTCCACCCAAAACTCACCATCTACATAGGAGAGAGATGACGGACAGACACTTGGATGCACAGTTGCATACAAAGCTACACAGATAGATACATAGTTACATATATAAATAGTTACAGAAATAGATCCATGCATACACACACATAGCTACATAGAGGCATACCTGACTACATACATACATACATACATACATACATACATATACGTAGTTTCATACACAGATCCATGCATATAGACGGGCAGACACGTAGGTAGGGTAGGTAGGTAGGTAGATGGGGTGAGATAGAGGGGTCATTACATGGATGAGAGCTGGCAGCAATGACTGACAACAAGGGATTGTCCCTTCATAGTTGCATCTCCCCCACCTTTACTTCCAGAGGCCGCCCTGAGTGCTCCATGCTTCCTCCATGACAACACAATTGTCTCTTCATGAATTACATTCCCATAATGCCTCTGGGAGTATCCCCCTGACACCACCATTGTCTGATCTATGCCGCCATGCTAGACAGGTGGAGAAGGCTTACAGACAGAGCCATTAATTAAGTCCTACTCTGTACAAGGCAGCTGAGAACAGCCAGATTGCTGCACATAACAGGTTCTCTTTATAACTAGTAATCCAGATGCCCCCCCCCCCCGCCTATACATTACTAATAATCCAGCCAGCCCCCCCCCCAGCTATACATTACTAGTAATCCAGCCAGCCTCCTCCATTCTCCACCCTTCTCCTCCGTCCTGCACACCCTTCTCCGCCATTTCTCCACCCTTCTCCTCCGTCCTGCACACCCTTCTCCGCCATTCTCCACCCTTCTCCTCCGTCCTGCACCCTTCTCCACCATTCTCCACCCTTCTTCTCCGTCCTGCACCCTTCTCCACCATTCTCCACCCTTCTCCTCCGTCTGCACACCCTTCTCCGCCATTCTCCACCCTTCTCCTCCGTCCTGCACCCTTCTCCTCCATTCTCCACCCTTCTCCTCCGTCCTGCACACCCTTCTCCACCATTCTCCACCCTTCTACTCCGTCCTGCACCCTTCTCCACCATTCTCCACCCTTCTCCTCCGTCCTGCACCCTTCTCCTCCATTCTCCTACCCTTCTCCTCCATTCTGCTCAATTCTCCACCCTTCTCCACGATTCTCCTCCATGGTTACATGGACCCCTAGGCTTCCTCTGCACAGTGGTGGAGGTTGCTTCAGCTGACTGACCTTCCATGTGGCGCCTGCATTGTTCGGGTGCCAAGGCTACTTGGAAGAGCCAGCCATATTACCCCAATATATATATATATTTTTAGTTGTAGGTAGATATGGAATTCTATATACCACTGGAAGGGAGACGTGTCTTTCACCTAAACACTAATACAAGGATTTTCAAAGTTTCTAAACACAGGGCCAGTTTACGGTCCTTCAGACTTCAGGGGGCCAGACTGTGGCCATTGGGAATAGAAAATGTCCTGACATCTGCAGGAAAAAAAAATTATTACATATCCCGTGTTCAGTAGGAGGAGGAATCGTGTCCCATCTTTGGTGTCAGTGGCAGGACTAGGGCCCCATTGTTGGTATTACTTGGAGAAATAATGCCCCATCGTAGGTGTCAGTGGGAGGAATAATGCTCCCTCATTGGTGTCAGTGGGAGGAATAGTGCCCCATCATTGGTGTAGTGGGAGGAATAGTGCCCCATCATTGGTGTCAGTGGGAGGAATAGTGCCCATCGTAGGTGTCAGTGGGAGGAATAATGCTCCGTCATTGGTATCAATTGGAGGAATAGTGCCCCATCATTGGTGTCAGTGGAAGGAATAGTGCCCCATCATTGATGTCAGTGGAAGGAAAAGTGCCCCATCGTTGGTGCCAGTGCATGTTATGACCCTCTTTTGGTGTCAGGGTGAGGAATTATGGCTCACAGTTGGTATCAGTGGGAGGAATATTGCCCCATCATTGGTATCAGTGGGAGGAATAGTGCCCCATCATTGGTGTCAGTGGGAGGATTAGTGCCCCATCATTAGTGTCAGTGGGAGGAATAGTGCCCCATCATTGGTGTCAGTGGGAGGAATAGTGCACCATCATTGGTGTCAGTGGGAGGAATAGTGCCCCATCATTGGTATCAGTGGGAGGAATAGTGCCCCATCATTGGTGTCAGTGGGAGGAATAGTGCCCCGTCATTGGTGTCAGTGGAAGGAATAGTGCCCCATCATTGGTGTCAGTGGAAGGAATAGTGCCCCATCATTGGTATCAGTGGGAGGAATAGTGCCCCATCATTGGTGTCAGTGGAAGGAATAGTGCCCCATCATTGGTATCAGTGGGAGGAATAGTGCCCCATCATTGGTATCAGTGGGAGGAATAGTGCCCCATCATTGGTATCAGTGGGAGGAATAGTGCCCCGTCTTTGATGTCAGTGGGAGGAATAGTACCCCATCTTTGGTGTCAGTGGGAGGAGTGGTGCCCCATCTTTGGTGTCAATGGGAGGAATAGTGCCCCATCATTGGTGTCAGTGGGAGGAATAGTGCTCCATCTTTGGTGTCAGTGGGAGGAATGGTGCCCCATCTTTGGTGTCAGTGGGAGGAATAGTGCCCCATCTTTGGTGTCAGTGGGAGGAATGGTGCCCCATCATTGGTGTCAGTGGAAGGAATAGTGCCCCATCATTGGTGTCAGTGGGAGGAATGGTGCCCCATCATTGGTGTCAGTGGGAGGAATGGTGCCCCATCATTGGTGTCAGTGGGAGGAATGGTGCCCCATCATTGGTGTCAGTGGGAGGAATGGTGCCCCATCATTGGTGTCAGTAGAAGGAATGGTGCCCCATCATTGGTGTCAGTAGAAGGAATGGTGCCCCATCACTGGTTTCAGTGGAAGGAATGGTGCCCCATCATTGGTGTCAGTAGGGAGGAATGGTGCCCCATCATTGGTGTCAGTAGAAGGAATGGTGCCCCATCATTGGTGTCAGTAGAAGGAATGGTGCCCCATCACTGGTGTCAGTGGAAGGAATGGTGCCCCATCATTGGTGTCAGTGGGAGGAATGGTGCCCCATCATTGGTGTCAGTGGGAGGAATGGTGCCCCATCATTGGTGTCAGTAGAAGGAATGGTGCCCCATCACTGGTGTCAGTGGAAGGAATGGTGCCCCATCACTGGTGTCAGTGGGAGGAATGGTGCCCCATCATTGGTGTCAGTGGGAGGAATGGTGCCCCATCATTGGTGTCAGTGGGAGGAATGGTGCCCCATCATTGGTGTCAGTAGAAGGAATGGTGCCCCAAGGGCCAGATGAAGCAAAGTGCAGTTTGGAGAGCACTGCTGTAATGTAAGGTGCAGTTTGTTTGTAGCAGGGGAGACCTGAACAATTCCTAAGGGTTCATCCGGGAAGAAAAGGTGGTGTGAGGCTGGTTTAACCCCTAATACTGAGCGAACCCCTTAGTCCTC